ACAAAATACAATAAGGGGGAGGTTACCACAAAATGATCAAGGAAAGGAAGGTGCTGGGAGGAGAACAAGTGTGAAAGGCAACAGAGGTAAATACTAACTCATACACAATCCTGCAACAACAGCAGTAATAATCAATAACCTGAGTGAATATATAAATAGCAAGCAAGTTGAACAAGTGTGGAAAGGACTATAGGACTAGACCCACAAATATATATAGGTTTGACAGAGGATATTTCTACATGAATATTTACATGTGTTGCAAATATATCCATTAGTACAGTAGAGCATATGCGGGGGGAGGAAAGTTATGAAAACTTCTTAGCCATAACCAAAAACCCTGAAGGAGTGAGTCATTGGACCTAAGGCCTCTGGACAATAGTCTCAGGGGCACATCAAGGTCACCTGGCACAATATAGTCCACAAAAATAAAGTTCTACAGCCTACTTTGGTGAATAGCAACTGGGGTTCTTAAACCTTGTGAGTGGCTGTTTACGGTGCAACTATTGATCTCTCTCTACAGGAAGCAAAGAAGAGTGTAGAAAATCAAAGAGAAAGAGAAACAAGCATTTCAAAGGACTAATATTCACCATATGAATATTAGCCTCCAAAACCTTGAGACCAGAACTAGATAGTGTCTGACTACCACAACGGACTGCTCTGAGAAGGATCACATTAGGTCTTAAATAGAGTGGGAGAATAATGTGGAACAAAACTCAAAACCACACACACACACACACACACACAAAGACCCAGCTGATACAGACTGGTGAAACCCTTAGACTATGGCCCTTGGTCACCCTTCAGACCTGGAACTGAACTCGCTCCTACAGTTCAATTTTCAGTCAAATAGTAGGTCTACAAGGTTAACAATAACTCTAGGAAGGTACACACTCCAAAAAACCAACTATTCAATACCAAAGCAGAATTATTTGCCGAATGACAAAGTCAGGAAGGGTTAGCAGAGAAGGAAGAATGGAAACAACACAAGGAGAAAGTGGGAAAGAATGATGTTACATCGAGGGGATTGCAATCAATGACATGAAACAAAATGTGTGTTAACTGTTGAATGGAAAACTGATTTGCTCTGTCAATTTTCATCCAACTCACAAGAAATTTTCTTTTAAAGAAATGGTGATATATTTTGGGTCACTGCTGTGGAAGATTTTGAAGAGTATGAGTATCAAAGACTAAAGTCTTAAAGAGGGAAACAGACACGGACAGGCTAGGTTAAAAGATTTTTAACAAACTGAAGCTTTAAAATGTTAGTAGCAAAGAGAATGATAGGAGAGGGTAAATGGTGCAGAAAGGCTGACTGCTGTAAACTGAAGTTGAAGAACATGCGTAGGACTCTTACTGCCCCTTAATATGCAAGGGGAAACTCCCCTGTGAGACATTTAAAGTCATAATGAGACATCTTGATGAGCCTGATGAATAAAGAAGAGGCTGGACTAGAGATGGACCAGAAAAGCGCTTGTTGAGCAGTTGATATACTTAACTACATGCAGCACACTTGATTGTTTAGAAGTTGCAAGGAAGAGGTTAACTAGCATAGAGAGATTTAAACACTGTCTTGAAAAATTATACAATCTGAGTTCAACCACAGGCTATGAAAAAACTGCTGAGATCAAAGGATTCTCACTCAGTATCAAAGTCTAAAAGCTATTAAGAAGTGAATGTTAAAGTTGGTGGTCTAATAGTTCCAAGCTAAAGATGAAATTACAAAGTTACCTTCTGTTACAATATAACCATATCAAGAAAACACATTTTAACCACTTTGTTTATATGGGTTTAAAACTAGATCTTTATTGTGTTATCTTGGTTTATTTGGTACATTTTTGGTGCCAAATTGCAAAGTGAACAAAAGAGCAACCAGTCATTTTAGTTTAGTTGCAGATATAAAACTTGGCCCGTAGGATGCATCCTTTATCATGTGCTTTGACGCTCATTTAAATAGTACTGCTAGAGCTGGACATAAACCTTAGCTTCATTTCCCCATCCTCCAAAATCTCCAACTTGACAAGTTCTGACATGAATGAAGTTGGGACTGTAAAAGATGTATTATGAAATCCTACCTGCTACCAATGTGCTGAACTGTCTGCTCTTGCCTCTGGCACCATCCATTTTCTTCACATCCTACGTGGGGGTGATACACCCTCTACAAGGGCATCTTAAAAGCTTCTCTGCCAAATAAGCTTACCTGTTCAAAAAGTTGGATCATGTCAAGCAACTGTACACACTAAATGTTTTTTAAGCACTGAATAGTCCCTCATCTTTCACGATTTCAACTGCCATTTTTGCTTCTTTAAAAGAATCTATAACATAGTACCTAAGGTACTTGACTGCTAATCAGAAGTCTGGTGGTTCAAACACACCAGCCACTCCTCAGAAGGAAGGTTGGGCAATCTACTTCCATAGTGATACCACCTCGGAAACTCAAGGAGGGGTCACTATGAATCAGGTCTGACTCAATGGCACATAACAACAACAAATAAATCTTGTGATAGAAACTAAACTAGCTGGTAGTCAAGAGAAATGTTTTCTCTACTTTAAAGGCAGAGAACCGTGACCATTGTGCAGGTCTGATTTAATAGTCAGAACAAATAGAACCCTGTGAAAAAAGCCAACTGACTCCTGCACCCTCTCTCCTGCCATTAGCCTCATTGCCTGCAATTAAGGATTGAGATTATCAGGCTCTGACTCTTTCTTAAAATGACTACCCATCTCCTCTTCAAAATAATTTTCCAATGTAACTCAGCGTATTTGTATTAATTCATCTGATGATTTCTTTATTCATTTTTTGGGGTCCTAAAAACATACTAAATACATGAGGCAGAGAAATAAATACCTCAAAATTATATGATAACCCATTTCAAAGAGAGAAGATGGTGCAAAAGGGAGAATAAAAAACCAGCTTACTGCTAGAAATGGCAAGGATTTAAATACATACTGTTCTTTTTAAGCCAAAAACCAAACCAAACTCACTGCCATTGGGTACATTCCAACTCATAGCAAGCCTATAATACAGGGTAGAACTGCCCCATAGGATTTCCAATACTATAAATCCTTACAGAAGCAGACTGCATCATTTTTCTCCCACAGAGCAGCTACTGGGTTCCAATTGCTGACCTTTTAGTTAGCAGTCAAATGCTTTAATCACTATGCCACCAGAACCTGTTCTTTTAAAAGGAGAGGCCATATTTTCCAAAATTCTGAATACATTGACAGTAAGTATAAATATCAGAAAAAAGACTTTCAAGGCAGATTTTATGCACATTCCTTATCAGTAACATAAAGTGGACATTCATATAAAATTACATTTTCCAAATTAATTATGCCTGTATATATGCTAATTAACTGGTACTCTGGTAAATACTTCTCCATTAAAGTGAGAGTTTTTATGCTTGTTACTATATATTTTCTATTATGAATTAAGGTAAACTATTACCATGTTCCCTTAAATATTTTCAAATATTTAATAATTTAGAAATTTCATGAAGTTATATTGTCTTCTAGTCTTTAAGTAATGTTTCCATAGAGCTTTCACGTGTTTATACCTGATGTATTATAACTCAGTGCTTAATCTTACATCACATTGCTCTTGGGACATGTTGTTGTTGTTATGTGCTGTTGAGTCGGACTCGACTCATAGCGACCCCTCTTTGGGTTTCCAAGGCAGTATCACTACGGAACTGGGACATAGGACATTGTAATTATATAACTATAACCATAGTGTAATAAAACTCTAAATCTTTTAATTGATTTAGAGTATGTTAGCAGTGAAAAGAATCTGTATCTATAGGAGTGTGCCAAAGTGATCTGATTGTTGCATATTAAAATTTATGAGACTTATAACAAAGTCTGTCTTTAAAGACATATACAAAATGTAGACTGTGGTAGTTGATTTATCTGTGTTGGTTTTAGAGTTTCTCTATGCTCATACTTATCTGAGTTCTAAAAAAAAAGTGGTAGGAAAAATGTTTTTTTAATACAAAAAATATGAATTAAAATTTTGTGATACAGTTTCTAGTCTTGTTCATTCTCATTTTTTGTATTAAAAAAACATTTTTCCTACCATACTTTTTGTTACTTGCTTTTATCACCAAAATCAAAACTACAGGATACATGATGCAAAATTTAATCTGATTAGAAAGTCTAATTCCAAGAAGTTTATTGAGAAGCAGAGAAGGAGAAAGGTTAATTATAAAAGTTATAAAATTATAAAGGTTAATTCACAGAATAGCACCATATGGAATGGGGTCAACAGGCAGCATTTCCTCCCTTACATTTCAGTCCCATGCTATGTTCCTTAGAATGTGATGGCAAATCCAAGTTACAACAATTAAGCAGATAAAGAAAGGGAAGGTAAACCCTGATCATATCAACTAAGAGAAATGTGTACATGTGAAATGAGAACAAGAGTTTTGCCCTTCAGATGGAGGTAGATAAAAAGATAACCAGATTATATTAACTTTAATTTTCTGAAGCCTCTTGATAGAGAGGCAATCAAGAATTTAGGTGTTTTGCTTTGACATATTCTTCACAGTGTAGTGTAAGCTGAATGATGAGAGCTTGGTTTAAAATATTAAATATATTTGTTTCGATAAAACAGAAGAAAGTAAAAAGGATAGAAATAAAGTTAAACTGTCAAATATTTAAAACAATCTAGAATTAGAATCATCATCTTAGAATTAGAAGTATTCATTTAATAAAAAAGTGAAATGATAGGATTCATAAAACAGCTTCTTTAATTAACATTCAAAATAATTTCTCAGGTTAAGAACTTTTTGATATAAAATATTCATGTAGACATTAAAATGCAAATGTTTCAAATTTGTCTACGCCATGTTGTAAAGAGAATATTTTACATACATTCAACAATTCTGTATGAAAATATTTTATCTATTAAGTATAACAATAATTTTCATTTAACAAAGTACAGTAATATAAATTTAAAGAAATAAATTAACGACAATTTGTAAATATTTCTAAACTCCTTATTAAAAAAAAGAGTAAAATAATTTAATTGAATTTAGTTAAAACTAATCCGTGAAAGAATTTCAGAATTATCATCTGAACATGAGGGAACACCATGACTATCTTTCAGAATTATTTCAAAATCATTCATAGAGAATTTTTATTAGTTTAGCTACTATATGCACGTTGAGACTATTTCCAAGGAGACGATAACGCTGCTTCACTGTTATCTTCTCAGGAAATCCTACAAGAGAGAGATGATAATTTATAATACAATCATTTATAATATTAATTTCCAGACATAAAAAGACACACTTAGTAAGGGCTAAGTGGGCATTTACACAAATAAGTCCTTCAGGTCTCCATGAAATTTCAATTAGCTAATGAGAATTTTGAGCCAAAAATATTATATAACTTTACATTGTCTACATAATGTAATGTTATCATTTAATATTATATAATACCATAGCATGCTCGGTACACACATATGTACAAGCAACAATCACAGAACTCACAGCAATCTACATAATAATAGTGCACTTTAGGAAAAGCAGTGATTACCTTTATTTCCTATTTACTTTTTTTAATAACAGCAATATTTTTAGACATAATTCACATACCATAAAATTCACCTTTTTGAAGTGTACAATTCAGTGTTTTCTAGTATATTCACAGAACTTTGCAACCATTGTTGTTACTTGCTGTCAAGTCTACGCTGACCCATAGAGGCCTTATGTATAACAGAACTATATTTAAGACCTGGTCTTGTGCCATCTCCATAATTTTTGGTATGTTTGAGGCCACTGTTAAGTATATTGATTGGGTCAATCCACCTCACTGATGGTTTCTTCATTTTTGCTGATCCTCTGCTTCTACCAACCATGATGTCCTTTTCTAGTGATTGTTCTTTCTTGATGATGTCTCCAAAAAGCAAGACAAAATCTCTCCATCCACCCTTCTAAGAAGCATTCAGGTTGTATTTCCTCTGGTAGTCCATAGCATATATTCAACCATTACACTAACTAATTGAAGATCATTTTTACCACTCTAAATAAAAAATTCTATACCCATTAGCTGTCATTCTCTGTTTCCCTCTGTCACCTACCCTTCATCTCCTCTATTCCGGTAATCACTAAGCAACTTTGTGTTTCAAAGAATTTGCCTATTTTGGACATTTCACATAAATATAACTATACAACAAACATGTGACCTTTTGTGTTGGCTTCTTTCTCTTAGCATGATGTTTTTGAGATTCATGCACATTGTGTTATATACCAAAACCTTTCTTTTTATTTTCAAATAATATTTGACTGTATTAAATACACCACATTTAGTTTTCCAATCATCCATTGATGAGCATCTAGGTTGTTTCCATTTTTTGGCTATTATGACTAAAGCTATTATAAACATCTGTGAATAAGACTTAGTGTAGACACATGTTCTCAATTCTCTCAGAGTAGAATTGTTGGGTCATCTAGTCATCCTCTTTGAGGAACTGCCATACTGTTTTCCAAACTAGTTATGCCATTTTACATTCCCCCTTCAGAAGTGCATGAAGGTTCTAATTTCTCCACATCTTCACTAACACTTGTTATTATCTGATTTATTTTTTTAATAGCCATTGTAATATATGAAGTAAAATCTTTTTTCAAGTTTTGATTTACATTTTCCCCGATGACTGATGATGTTGAGCACCTTTTCATATGCTTTTTGGCCATTTGTATTTCTCCTTTAAAAAATGTCTATTCAAATCCTTTGCCCATTTTTCAGTTGGGTCATTTATCTTTCTATTATTAAATTGTAATAATTTATATATTCTGAATATAAGACCCTCACAGTAGTTTTTTATGCTTTGCTTCTACAAGTTGACTTTCTCACATTAGGCTTCTATTTGCTACATTTTTTTCAAAGTAAAACGGTCTATAAATACAAATTTGCTGGAACAAAAGCCTTACAAATATCACCATAAGAAAATGATCCATGGGTAACACTATACACTGTAATGTTAGTTACAATGCCACAAATTCACATTCTGTACTCTCTGGTATAGCAAGTAAATAAAGAAAAATTAAATGAGATTAATAAAGAGAAGGAAATAATTGAAAAAATTAAGAATTGCCAAGTTTCATATACTTGTAAGAACCAGAAGATAGAGTTGGTTATGGTAAAGTTGCTTCATTAACAATTAACATTATATTTACTGCAATAAAATAAGTGATTACTATAATAAAGCTATATTTGCAATAAACATGATTATTGCTGACCTAACGAAAATATGCCTTAGGCGAGTACACTGCTCAATGTTATCTAAAAATTTATTTACTTCAAAGTAGCTAGAGGTTCAAATGTATCTAAAAAAAGCCATTTAGTATATTCCAGGGATGATCTTTTACAATATTAAGATTACATTAGAGGAGAAGAAAAGTTTAAAAGTAAGTCAGAGTTATAAATATTATGTTAATGTTAAAATCTAAACTAGGAAAATTAATTTTTTAAAGTTAAGAGGTGATATTTTAAAACTTAGAAACATTAAAAATAATAATAATCATCTTCAAATACAAAGAAACATAGAATTAACAAGGTCAAGTTATAGCTTTCATCGAACAAGTGAGGTTACTGTCCTTCATTCCAAAGTCTACTATTTTACACATGCATACCACCAGTCACAAAGAGAACCAGGACAAACTATGCAAGAGATCAATGCAAATCCATCATTGCCAGTGGACAAACAACTCAAACAATACCCATTTTGGATCCAGAATCAATAATCAGGAACACATGAAAGCTCAGTAAAGGGGGTCACCTTGAGGCAAGTTGACTATATAAATACATCACATTTCCAAAGAAATTTAAGCTATTAAAAGGCTTACATTTATTATACATTTTTTCAGATGACTGTAAATACTTTACCCACCTAAAATTCAAAAATGAGAAAAACATATTTATAGGAAAGGTTATAAAAGCAAACAAATGTCTATGATTTAAAAATTAAAAAGCTACCTTTTTTTCCCCCACTATGTACCAAGCATTGTCTAAGCATTTGATATATACTAACTTATTTAACTGTCAGAACAGCTCTTATGAAGTATGCGTAGTTGAAGTAGAGCTAGGATTAAAACCCAGACATCCTGGCTCTGGGGTCCCTACTACTGACTGACAATTTCAGTGTTATCAAAGTGACTAATACCTCTTGAAAAAACAAGCAGTGAAATAAAAGTTACGAATGTTTCATAAGATAATCTCTTTTCTCACTTGAACTCACTGCCATCGAGTCAACTGCAACTCATAGCAACCCCTCCTTGGGTTTCCCTTTGGGTTTCCAAGGTGCTATCTCTATGCAAGTAGATTGCCCAAACTTCCTTTTTAGGAGTGGCTGGTGGGTTTGAACTGCCAGCCTTCTGGTTAGCAGTCAAATGCCTTAGGCACTACGCCATCAGAGCATCTACTTTAGTACCTCTGATTTCTCATTCTCTTAAGAAAAATAGGAAAATAGACTTGGAATTAAAATTTTTGAGCTAAAATCTCAGCTCTTTATTTGTTTTGTGATGTTCTCACTCACCTTGGGATAAGCAATTAAGGTCCGTGTTTTCCTTAATAATACTCTCCATGTATTTGGGCCTGAATAAGATCACCAAGAAAAAGGTATGGAGTATACAACAGAGCTGGTTGCTCTGACTACAGTGGGAAATTCAACTACCAATAGAACAAATTAAACTGGCAGTTTGTCCCCAGCAAATAAAAGGATTGTATTCAAAAACCTTATCTGTAATCCTTTACTGATAATTTGAAACAGGTTCTATTTAACCCATTAAGTACTTCAAGAATGTTGTTGTTGTTATGTGCCTTGGAGTGGACCCCTTCCTTGGGTTTCCAAGGCGGTATCACTATGGAAGTAGATTGCCCAATCTTCCTTCCAAGGAGTGGCTGGTGGGTTTGAACCGCCAGCCTTCTGGTTAGCAGCCAAGTGCCTTAGCCACTACGCTACCAGAACTCCTACTTCAAGAATTGTTGTTATGTGCCGTCGAGTCAAACCCGACTCATAGCGACCCCTCCTTGGGTTTCCGAGGCAGTATCACTACGGAAGTAGGATTGCCCAACCTTCCTTCCGAGGAGTGGCTGGTGGGTTTGAACCGCCAGCCGTCTGGTTAGCAGGCAAGTGTCTTAGCCACTATGCTACCAGAGCTCCCACTTCAAGAATAGTACTGTATTAATATTACAGCAGCATTAGATTTAGCAAAGTTTGGGTTTTCTGTGAGGGTGGGGGAATTAATTCAAACTCTCAAAATTATCAAATATATATTTCCTCCCTCTGTAGCCCTGGAAAAAGCACCAGTGCTGTGGTGGTTAAAGCATTTGGCTGCTAACCAAACTAGCCACTCCTCAGGGAAAAGATAAGGCAGTCTGCTTCTGTAAACATTTACAGCCTTGGAAACCCTGTGGGCAGTTCTACTCTGTTTTTAAGGGTCACAATGACTGAAATCAACTGGATGGCAGTGGATTTGGTTTGTTAGCCCTGGAAGCATGTTAGGAAAGTCCATCCTTCACTTTTTCCAAGAGCCAGGTACTGGGAACACACCCAAGCCCAGCTCTGAAGACAGTATGTCAGTGATACTGCCTCAGAAACCCAAGGAGGGGTCACTATGAGTCCGGTCCAACTCGGCACATAACAACAACAACAACAACAACGTAATCCCTGGATTCTCCTGACTGCAAATGGAGTTAAGGCTTTGTCTTGCTCACACTCCAACTTGAATTTTTTTTTTTTTTTTTAATCTTGAGATTCCCTGCTTCAGATCCTCTAATCATTTTGCCTATTTGGGACCTGTGCTCTTGAGTCACCCTTTCTTCCAATTAGGAAAGTTCCTTCTTAGGTCCCTTTCCAACTTCTCTCCTGTAGACTTAAATCTTATAGGAAAGAAAAAAGGTACACATTTCATAAGATTTTGAGAAGCATAAATACAAATACATTTTCCACAGGAAAAAAAAAAAAACCTACTTCATAGAAAAGACAATCTATGTATTCTTTCACAAGATCAAGGGAAGAGTTACTTGGACAGGACTTCTGGATGCAAGAAAACAAACCAGAGAAGGGGATGCTATTAAAGAGAAGGGGAGAGAGGCAAAGAAGCACTGATTAGCCTCTTCTGTCACCACCCCCCACTTTGGACCATCGCTGGAATAAAGGAGAACTGAGTTTGAAGGGAATTAACTGAGGCAGGTTCTAAGGGGAAGAGGAGAGAAAGGAAAACACCGAAAGACAGCACAAGCAGGAGAGGAAGATGGTTTCCTGTGGTCATCCAGCTGGCTGAGGGTTGTTCATAAAATACACACGTCAGTCCCCAATAAATTCTGAGACCTTTAATATATGAATAGTATGGTCTGCATGTAGCCTACATACCAAACTCTGGAGGAAATCCGAGAAGATTTGCTATTTCTTTAGGAGTGAAATATCGTAGTTTAAGCATTAACAATTTTGTTATCTTTTCTTCTTCTGATAAATTGCTAAGAGATTTGTAGATATTCTCAATCTGTAAGAAAACAATCAAGGTAATTGATAAAGCAGTGTGCAACTAGACTTCTTAAAGTAAGATTGCCTATTGGGAGACGGTTTCAAAATGATGAACATACAGCCTGCTATAACATATGATAGCAAAATGCACTCCACAGAGCAAAACGTTTCTGTGCAATAAACTAAACAATTAGCTCATTAACGGTCATTTAAACTTTGGGGAAAAAAATGAAAAGATCAGAATACTTTTCAGTATTTTTCATGTTTGATCTCTCTCTAATATGAAATCATAAGAATGTAAACAACAAATGGCAATACACTATAAAAGAATATAGGGAAAGATATAAAGAAAACTTGACAGACCAATGGCATCAATTTATCAATTTTATAATGCTAACAAGTAGATCATTATAATGTTTACTGTTTATAATCAGTTTCACCAAATAAAGATATTTTCTAAAATGATAAAATACAATAAATAAATGATTTCTCAAATCCAGACATTATATGCTTATAATAGCATTTTATCAGGGGTAAAATTTATTAATGGTAAGAGCTATAAATCAGTATAAAGATGATAATGTAATTTCCCTTTAAAACTACATAAAACTTGCTTTATATCAGGCTTGTATTAAACCATGACATCATGAAGGATTTATAACTTAAGTATTAAAAAGCACATTGCTAAAACAGAGTTTTTTCCTTTAAAAGGTAGTTTTATAGTATGCTCCCCAGAAAGTTTCCAAAATTAAGATGTTTTGTGTTTAATTTTAGAGAATATTAAATATTAAGGCTGAATTTCAATTTACTATTTATGGAATTAAAATAAACAGAAGGTAAGAGTAATAAAGCAGGAAAATTAAAACATAAAACATTCCTTGTGGATAAACTCATATCCAGCAACAAGAAAATATAGATTTATTCTATAGTAAAGAATCATATATGTAGATACAGATGTCTATATGAATATATATATATAGATAGATAGATATATAGATATATTCATTCTTAGGTGAACATGTAAAATTATTTTAACATTCTTAAATTAAATATTAATCATAATTTTATTTTAAATACTATTTTCAAATATTTTAATTTAGCTTTAAAACTTACATAGTACCTGCACATCTTCTGCAGTTTGTAACACAGATCCTGTACCTTCTACAAAGCTTCCATAACTGAAAAATTAACAAAATATTATGTAGCATCTAATGTATTTAACACTAAATTTCTTAAATATTTTTTGAGATAATTGATCAATCAATATAATTACATCATTCTGAAATATTCTAAATAATAACACTTAAGCATGCTTTACAATTTAAAAATCACTAGTATTATAGTGCATAAGGCCCTTGACTGCTAACCAGAAGGCTGGTGGTTCAAACCCACCAGCCACTCCTAGGAAGGAAGGTTGGGCGATCTATTTCTGTAGTGATACCACCTCGGAAACCCAAGAAGGGGTCGCTTTGAGTCATGTCCGACTCGACAGCACATAACAACAACAGGTAAAAAGACTAGGCAAGATCTTTCCATTAGAACTCCTCAGAAACTAAATTTGGCACAGCTTTTTGAGTCATGTAAATATCATTTAATTACGTATTTCTTTGTATTAACTGTCATTTCTTTAATGTTCACCACTAGAAAGGATGCACTTGTTGTGACTTTGTATTCAAATGCTGTCAATATTAGCATCTCTGTCTCATTAAACCAAATGTTACATATTCATATATACAACCAAACTCACTGCTGTGGAGTCCACCCCAACTCATAGCAACCCTTCCTTGGGTTTGTAAGGCGGTATCACTATGGAAGTAGATTGCCCAATCTTCCTTCTGAGGAGTAGCTGGTGGGTTTGAACTGCCAGCCTTCTGGTTAGCACTCAAATGCCTT